TTGTTGGCAGTTATCAACTATTATTAAGTTTCTTGTCTGCCTTTTGCTTCAATATATTGGGCAATATGTGTATTATAATTGACAGCTTTTTGCTTTTATCTCAATTTTATGATATATATCTAAAATGTTAAATATCATTTCAGTTTTACTGATATCGTTTTGACTTCCTTTTTTATTTTGGCAAAATTCAAAATACGTAAAATTGTTGCCCTTTAAGTTAAGTTTCTATTACAACTTAAATCAACTAAATTGGACGTCGGGTGAAAAAGTTATGCATAAATGAGTTACATTTTGAATTTTAGATAAGTTAAAATATTAAATTTTTGGGCAATGTTAAATTTTTCATGCATATCTTTCTCATCCGACACCCAATCTTGATGATTAAAGTTGTATTAGAAAGTTAACTCAAATAATCACAAATGGCGTGCTTTGCGTTTTGCCTAATTCAACCTATAAAATGGTCAAAATCCCGTTTCAAATACAATATTTTCTATACGTCGTATGAATTATGCATGCAAATACAAATTTTAGTAGACTATAATTGAACTAATTGTGTCTATATATTTATTTATGTGCATGCATTTAATTAATACATTTAATTAAATAAACCAACAAAATTAATAATAAATAATAAGAAAAAAGCTTCATTTTCAAATGGGTTTTAGAGATACTACATAGTTAAGTTGAAATCCTCTCAGACGACAACCATTTGAATTTAAAGCTAATTAAGCATAAATCCGAAAACATTATACAGTAATTAATTAAAAACAGACCTTCAAGACAGCATAATATAAAGACACATGATGAGATTAAAGAAAAATACTTGAAAACATAATTAACATATATTAATATAAAGAAAAGCTGCTGCAATTTTTTAATTAATTTCTTAATTAGTAGGGAGAAACACCCACATTTGCAGCTGCACCAAGAAACCCATCTTTCATCATCACATGATCATCTCCTTCCTACATAAAATATCATTATATAATTAATTAGTTAATTAATACTAATTATCTAATATATTACTAATGATTACTTAATAAATTAAATAGTGATTAGGGTTTCTTCTGTGTATATATATGTTCACACATGAACATAGCTCGAGTTAAGCTGGCTTGATAAAAACTCGAGCTCGAGCTCAAATATTAATTGGCTCACAACTTTTTTCTAATAATAAACATAAATAATATAGTAAATGCATATAAAAAGTTATAAAATTAAATTTCGGTTCACTTTTTTTTTTTCTTGTAACTTTTTTAAATAATGAAAAGTGTTATATAAAAAAAATGAGGGTGCTCGCGAAAACAGCTAGGCTCGACTAGTTTACAGACCTAATTAACACAAATTATGTTGTATGAAAAAAGAAAAAAGATCTTCTCAAAAAAAAAAAAAAAAGAGAAGAAAAAAGAAACTAGGGTTTTGATGAAGAGAGTTATACCTGTTGGCACACGTTTGGTTTCTTCACGGGTTGATCTGGCATCAGTCCGAAGTGGATGTGTGGGAAGTGGGCCCACTATTTTGCAACAAAACAAAATTTTCAATTAATAATTAATAATAACAAAACCCTAGTTATTATTAATAAAAAAATAAAAAATAAATTAGGGTATATATATATATATATATATATATATATATATATATATATATATATAGAGAGAGAGGTTACATTTTTAGCAGCAGCACTGAAGGCTTCCCTGTGACTGATATCAGGGTTACCAGCTTTGATACGTTGGATCTCGTCCCTGCAAAATTCTTGTCTTAGATTTTCCTCTATTAATAAAATATTATTATTAATAAAATAATTAATGAAATTTTGTATAATTAGTTAGGCATTAAAAGAAGCTGCAATAAAGCTGTAAGAACACAAACCTATGCATACAATACCTGGGGGTTAGGGCTCCGTGGCTACGGTTATTACACAGTATATATTCATTATATAGTATTAATTAATTACTGCATATATATATATATATATATATATATATATATATATATATATATATTATTAAATAATATATAATATACAAACACATATATACACACACACATACGATTACTAATTGCTTACTTGATGAAGCGGTTGTAAGCAGAGGGCACTCTCTGTCTTTTCTCCGGGGCTGAAAATAAAAAATATATTATATAATATAATATTTTATAAAACACACAATATAACAAAAATTCAGACATTAAAATCACTTGGCAGCTGACTTCCTTTGGATCTCTATCTCTCTCTCTCTAGATCTCTCTCTCTCTCTCATCACTACTTCATCATTATCTAATGATGATTTTTCCCTTACAAGATTTTTATCATATTACACTGTTTCCACACCATTGGATCACACACACACACACACACACACACACACACACATATATATATACACCGAGGTAAAACTTCTTGTTTTTTTTCTAGTTCAAGGACAAAAATTAAAAAACCTAACTAAAAAAAATAATTTAAAAAAACAAGATTTAGGGTTTGGAAAGTTTTAAAAATATGTATATATACACTGTTGATGAACAATAAGCCACATCATACATATTATAAAGTTTGAATATTAGATGAGATAAAAGTGGAAATAATTGAAGGAAGAGGAGAAGATAAGCTACAAATGTTTGCACACAAAAAAGCTCAATCACTGTTCATGAAAAAAAATAAAATAAATAAAATAAAATTAATTCAAGTTCTTATTTGCTAATTCAACTAACAATGCAACTTTAAACGATCGAATAAATCTCTTCGTTTAATTAATTAGTTCTGAAGTGACTCAAAGATGAAATCAAAAATATTATTCATACTCATATACAATACATTATCAAGATCTGATCTGATTAAAATTAAAGAGAATTTGTAAATTGATAATATAATTAATTAATAAAGTTAAGAATATATAATCTTACGTCGTTTAGCTGCGGGAGGCTTAGGAAGCTCGTCGATATCACGAACGGGTAACATCGATTCGTTCGGGATATTCATCATCTGCTGATTCATCATCAAACTCGACGGCGAGTTATTCCTTATCTCCTCCTGTATACACATACACATTTATTAATTAATTAAATTCACCCACATAAATTAGCCAAAAAAATCAAGAATCTTATATAATACATATATGTATCCAAATTTACTACAAGATGTGTTTTAGTAGCTATAGTTTAAAATGATGTTTTAGAACCCTAAATTTTGAACATTCAGAAACCCTAATACATTTTCAGACAGCACACACACACATATATATACATAGAGAGAGAGAGAGAGAGAGAGAGAGAGAGAGAGAGAGA